GTCCTTGAAAGCGACCATATTTTATGGAGGCAGGTTGAGAAATTGATTCTCTGCCTTGGTTTGCTCCTTCTCTCTTATCAGACATAATCTGTCGTCCTCATTTCTCTCTCATTTCTTTTTTTTTTTTATGTATGTTACTTTCTAGCAAAACCTCTAATCGTCGGCCCTTATTTTGGGAGGACTTCCGTAACGAGCGACCACTATTTATTCAAGATTGTACTTGTTCATCACCACAATTCTTATGGGAGACCGAAAGCCACTGTTATACTACCTGGACATGACAAAATTACGGTCCTTTTATATTATTTTGACATATTCCATTTGTCTTTTAAGTGTTGTGAAACTCTTAATAAAAAATTATTTTTTTGGGTCCCGTGTCCTGATTTTGGTGCTGATATTTGTAGGTTATGTAAAAATGTATTGACAAGATGCAAATTGTTCTGTTTCAAGAAAAAAGAAAAAAGAAAAAGAAAGAAAGAAAAGAGGGAATTATTCAGTTGATGATGATGACGATGATGATGATGATGATGATGATGATGATGATGATGATGATGATGATGATGATGATGATGATGATGATGATGAGACGAACCTCCTACTAAAACTAAAACGAATCCTTGAACCTACTTGTGACACAGCTGAGGCGTCTACAGGAAGGTCATAGTGCATGCCGAACAAACAGTTCTCCTCGGCCACCAGAGAGCCGTTAGACCGTACCACAATGCTGCAGGTCTCATACGTGTACGTCACATTGTCCAGATCCTGGAACTTGCTGTAGAAGGCGGAGCCGTTAGGAGGCGGTGCGCACTGATGTGGTACTTGGCGACCTGAGCACGGAGAGTACATCAGTTCTTTTATTTCATTACTTAGTATTTTGGTAAGTGTTATACGGCACTCGCAACTGCATTTTTAAGGTCATATGAGCGCGCGGGACACATTATACAGTTGGTAGGAAATTTTGAATTTTGCCCTGGTGGCGGCCAAAGCCTACTCTTATCGATTTTAGACCACCAAGAAATCTTTAACTGGTACAACGTGCACACGGGACCTCCGATATTTTTTCGCCCTTGTCCGAGAAGGCTAGGTGTAGATCTTTCCTACCGGAAGATCAGGGCTGTAGCTTAAAGACAGTAGTAAGAATGGGCCAAGGAGTAGCAGTAGAAAGGCTGCAGAAAGAGTCAGGTGCCCAGAGGAGAGGGCAAAGGAGGTGAGGGGGTTAGGGCCGAAAGTGGAGTCGAAAGCAGACGACAGAACATTACTAGAGAGCAGGAAAAGAGATGGAAGAAGACAATTTTAGAGAAGACAATTTTTCCGTAGCAGCCCGGCTTCGAATCCGAGACCTTTGAATGAGAGGCGAAGACTTTAGCCTCTAGGCAACAAGACCCCTAGATCATTTCAGTTGAAAGGAATTGCAAGTTTGTACTAGTACTAGCAGGCCGAAAAAAACGGGAAAAATTAAAAACCTACTTGAGGCAATCGCCACCCCTTTCCCTCTCCGAAACTACTCATGTAAAACTCAAAGACAGAATATTTTTAAATAGATAGATTGTGTGTAACATGAACTTTGCTTTTTATTGGACAGCCCTCGTAGACACTGGCTACTTAATACATCAATCTGAAGCTAAGAACTAATTATCATAATTTATTTCACAGCACGATAGAAATAGGTGTTCGTCCATTTTTGGGGCATACAAGCTTATTGTTATTGTCTTAAATTGAGTTACCTTGCCTTGCTTTTAATGAAAAATACCCATCTATCATGAAATTGTGAACACCTTTAAGAGTTCTGATCAGGAAACAACTCATATTAACATATGCTTAGGGGTCAGCTTTAAAGATATACAAGTCACCAACAGCTAAACCCAAGAGACGACTAAAAAACAGGGTTGGGCTTGATTTTTTAAAAGTATAATTGTGAGGTAGCGTGGTGGAATCAAGCTCTCGTCAAAATAATCAAATTGAAGAAACTTGCATTTTTCCGCAGGTTTGTGGATTTTTATCAAAGTTTTTGTTTTTTGGCTCAACACTTTTCATGCACATTAAAAAACTTATTTCTGTGTGGATTTTTCTGAAATACGTTGATTAAAGACACAAAAGATGAACATTTTCAGTTACCACGAGCTCTTAAGCTTAGGGAATAACGAATCTTTGGCGGCCAATTTCTCACTAATTTTACCTCTGAAAACAGATGACCCCCACCTCCTTCATTCTCCAATATCTCGACTTGTATTTAAGATAAAAAGATTTTTTCCCCATCAAAGTAAAGACAATTGAACAAGCTTTAAGATGATACCAATAACTCTATGTGCCCAAAAATTGACGAGAGCCTGATTCCACCACGCTGCTTCACAATTAACTATTGACAAAGACAAGAGAAGAAAAAACTCACACGTGAAGACGTTGCTGAGGAGTTGGATGGCGGCAGCGAGCGTGGGGCTGATAGATACCACCATCTGGATGATCTGATATTTGCCAGTGGCGCCCAGAGCCAGGAGCACGTTGTCCACGTGAAGGGCTCTTTGGTCAGCCATGACGTCACAGCGGGTCAGCTCTGAAAGAAGAACAAATCAGTTCTGTTAGACCTGGAACGTGAGTGGTTAGCCTGTGCTCTAGGGAGGTCGGCTCTTTCTTTTTTTTTTCTATCTTACATCTATTGTCCTTATCTCTTCACCTTCTCTTCTCCTTGGCTCCTTCTCACTGCAGCTGTCTTTCAATCACACCCCTGATCTTCTGGTAGGAAAGATCCGCACCTATACTTTTCATGCAAGGGCGAAAGATCTCGGAGGTCCCATGTGCGAGTTGTGCCAGGTTAAAGATCCTTTGGTGGCCCAAAATCGATAAAAGTAATCTCCGGCCGACACTCGGGAAGAATTCAAAATTCCCTACGAACTAAAATGTTTAATGTGTCAGGCGCGCTCATATGACCTTATGCAGGTTCGAGCACCGTACAACACTTACCAAAACAAAAATATTCTTGCATCTTGATCATTTAGGGGCATTCTCATCAGATTGCCGAAACACTTAATTCTTTCATTTTCAATGTTCCACGACTGATTTGGATAGTTTCGTTTTTTTATCGAGGGTATCCTTGTGACATTAGGCCTTTCATTTCACAAGCAATGATCTTCCATTTTTGTGCACGGTTTAGGTGGCATTTGTGGAAGAAATACGTGAGGCATCGTTGTAGAATCCGGCTCTCGTCACTTTTTGTGCATGTAGAGTTATTGGAATTATCTTAAAGCTAGTTCACTTGTCTTTATTTGAATGAAAAAAATATCCATTTATCTTGAAAACAAGTCGAGATATTTGAGAATGAAGGAGGTGGGGGTCACCTGTTTTCAAAGGTAAAATTAGTGAGAAAATGGCCGCTTAAGATTAGTTATTTCCTTAGCTTAAAAATCCATGGTAACTGAAAATTTACATTTTTTGTGCCTTTAATTTTTCAGAAAAATCCACAGAGAAATTAGTTGAATAATGGGCATGAAAGGTGTTTAACCAAAAAACAAAAATTTGATAAAAATTCAGAAACCTGCAGAAAAATGCACGTTTCTTCACTTTGATTATTTTGACGAGAGCCTGATTCCACCACGCTGCCTCACATAAAAAAAAAAAAATGCTGTTGAGAAGTTTTACCTTTTATTCGATCAGTAGGTGATCATGAGTAAGTGGTGGCGACACATTTGCATGTCATTGTATTAGTGTTATGGGTCCTCATTTCTATTTTCCTGTTCAGTTTTCCGTAGTGGTGCAGATATGGCTCCCAGGCTTTTCAGTTATGTAACCTGTTTGAGTTGTATCCCGTTGATAGTGACGTTTAGTGGGCTAAGGTATTTGCTGACATTTACTGCTTCTCTTTTGGCCTTACTGATTCTCTTCTGATAGTTTTTGTCATTCTCATTAGGGCTATTTGTATATTCTTGCAAGTTGTTGAGGTTCGTATTTAAGAAGCTCTTGTCCTCGGTGAACAGGCGCTCATTCGCAATAATGTTGCCATTTTAATGTATTCACCTCTCTGATGACTCTGTCCTGATTAATTGGACTTATCTAGAAGCGGAAAGAGCACACATCCTTGCCTAAATCCTGATGGTACTGGTAACAGGTCATTAAGCCCTTTTGGTATTTCTCATGGTACAAAGAATATTCTCATAAAGTCTCACAAAGTTAATAATGTAGGAGGCATTGTTTCACTATAAATCTCTTTCAAAATAGAAGCACCTTACATCCTCTTGTTGTTTTGTTTCCAAAACATAATGTAGAATGCATAATAATGTCTAGCACAAATCTTTCAGGCAGCAAGATATCAGCACCAAGAGCAAATGCAAGTTATAATCTTAATCCGTAGCCCACATGGAATAAAAAAAACCCCAACATACCTACTTATCTAATTGTTGCTGATAAGTAATATCCGTTTCCCTTTCAGATTCCATCAAATATCGGCGTCAGGCGTTATTTGTCTCTCGAGGCTCCGTATCAAAACTGCCACTCTCAATGACAGAAATTGTTTGTCCGATGTAAGATAGGATAATGCAATTTGAATATTCAGAGAAAAGGAAACCGAACCCTCCTTCCCACTGATACTTTCCTGTCAACCTCGGTGCCTGTCTCATCAGCCTGGACATGTTAATGGGGTTCCTGAATTCATTAACGGCCAAGATTTTACATAAATTATAAATGTGAACTGTCATTATCTGTTCTTGAAAAGTTGTTCTCTATTAACTATTTTCTCATACCCCCGCCCTCAAAATGATCAAGGTGGTGTTAATAAGGATGTTCAAAATGTTACAGTGACATTATAATAGTATTAACAGTTTTAACTGTACTCCTGTGAATAAAATTCACTTTATGCAACCTGCTTATTCGTTGGTAATAGCCATCAGAATAAAGATTTGCCATGCTATTTTATCTTTTAATTTAATGTAGGCATTTTTACGCCAATAGCTTCACAAATTAGTTCATTTTGGATGCAGGCTTCTGGCCCTGTCTAATAGAGCCAAACATGATGAGAGGGATGCACCATGCCACAATAGGTATGATATACTCAACAATTCTCCACCTGGTAATCGGAAAACAGGTCTCTTGAGTTCGGAAATTTCGTTTCCATTTTCAATTTTAAAAACTCTAAGGTGTTTCTATATTTTTTTAATTGAAGAACGTTCAGTTCAAAATTCTGAAAGTACAGTTTTGATGAATTACTAAAGAAAGTTACTTTAAAAGTAGGGTGACCTTATTTAGGCCACATGTGGCCTAAATAAACTAAACCCCCCTCCCTTACCTTATTTAGGCCACACCTTTATACAAAGTCACAGAAATATTCCTTTTGTGCTTATTGAGGTACAGTGCAGGGTGATTTTACCTGCAAGGATAATTGGACAAAATGGGCAAAATCTTTATTGCTAATGGTCATATTT